CTCAAACAGTCAGTAAGATTGAACGCTATTAAAAGGTACTCATTATTGAAATAAAGTCTGAGAAATTTTATGAAATATAAAAACGGGATACTGATGACAAACGAATGAAATTCTAAAAACCTTAAATAAAATAAAATAAAATAAAATAAAATAAAATAAAATAAAATAAAATAAAATACTGTATGTGTTTTATTAACAACTAATATATACTCAGAAGTTACAACAAGCTTTAAATATTAAAATCTCCTTTGTAATGTCAAGAGACATCTATTCTTAATGTCCCACATTCTAACCAACAATGCATGATTGAGTTAATTTAATCACATACAAATAATTCAAAAGGTATGGAGGAGGATGCTTATCCACAATATATATATATATATATATATAGAGAGAGAGAGAGAGAGAGAGAGAGAGGAGCGATCAAATGAAAACCACCCTCATTTGTAAAAACTGTACAAACCACTCTCATACGTTGATTTCATTGTTTAATCTTATGAAATTTTTTCATGAAATTGTTTAAATCTTGTGAAATTATTTCATATAATACTTTTTTTTGATGAATTTGTTTCATATATGGTTATGAAATTGTTTCATATAATATTTAATGAAATTTTAATGAAACTGTTTCATGTATTTCTCTAAAATTAAAATAATGAAGATGATAATATCCATGATTAACACCCTCCACAATAAAAATGGTTAATCAACCTCTTATAATTACAAAAAAAATGAACACAATGAAAAATTATGATTGGTTGAATGAAGTTTTCATGGTTTTACAAGTTTAGTGGTTTTTATTTGAACGCTCCCTATATATATATATATATATATATATATATATATATATATATATGTTGGTTATTATACAAACCTTGACATTTGTGCAACCAATACAACCCAATCTTAACCGTCCATTTCATTTGATTAATATGTGATTTCATAGAGGTTTTGATTGTTTCCTAATATAAAGTATTTATCATAATTAATGAACCATATTCATCTTCCATAAATATTCAAATAATAATAAATGAACTCATCTTCATTTCCATAAATATCTTACTTTATTGGGTTGCATTGGTTATACAAATGCGATGAGTTGTATTTGAAACGAACTTCATTCAATCAATCATTGTTTTTTATTTTTATATAATTATGAGAGGTTGATCAATTATTTTTATTGTAGATGGTGTTAATCAATATATACATATATAGACTTGGGTTCACGTGAGACCAGTGTGTTTTCGTGATACCACTTTATTACATTTGAAATTTCACAGCAAAAGTTGTGAAGGTAAAAAAAGCCGAACCTTCACAACAAAAAACACTGTGAAGGTTACAAGTGTAAAAAAATGGTCTCATGGGTCTCACGAAACACGATAGTCTCAACTCTCACGTGAACCCAAGTCTGTGTGTGTGTGCGGGTATATATGTGAAGGAGAGTTACTTTGTAAACCATGTTATTTGTACAAACCGTACAAATCGCATTCAACAAATCATAATTTTTCATTTTGTTGATTTTTTTTGTAATTATGAGATGTTGATTAATCATTTTTATTGTGGAGTGTATTAATCATGGATATTATCATCTTTATAATATTAATTTTAGAGAAATACATGAAACAGTTTCATTAAAAATTCATAATTATTATATGAAACAATTTCATAACCATATATGAATCAACTTCATCAAAAAAGTATTATATGAAACAATTTCATAACCATATATGAAACAACTTCATCAAAAAAAGTATTATATGAAACAATTTCATAAGATTAAATAATTCCATGAAATTTTTTCATAAGATTAAACAATAAAATCGACGGATTCGAATGGTTTGCACAGTTTGTACATATAACATGGTTTACATTTGATCGTTGCTATA